CTTATGTATAATGCAAAAATGAATGTATATGTTTATACAGTACTGTTACAATTGACCTGTTTTACACAATGTGGGGGTTTGCCAGTTGGGTTTATTTAGGACTTGTTTTCATAGAGCTGGTGGCTCGTTTCTGTCGCGAGATTTACCAACACTGGCTGCAAGCGAGCAGAGGCACAGTTGAGAGGAGGGAGGGAGGGAGGGAGTCGAGCACAAGCAGAAAGGGAGTTAAGCAAGCAGAGAGGAAGCCGCGTGAGCATATGTGTGATTTGAATGCACGCTGTTCAAATTATTGTTTGTTCGTATTGATATCTGCTCTCAAATCAGTGTTGCTGTGTGCTCAAGCCGATGGCACAAATGTAATYCCATAGTGAGAGGGGGAGGGGGTCCATGCTCTGCAGCACAGACAGCACAGGGGGAAAAGCGAGCAGCACAGACCATCATTGCTGCTTCACCAGGTGGAGGGGGAAAGGCGAAGTGGCTCCCGTCCTCGGTAGTCGATCCGGCAGAGCGGTCAACATTTGTTTGTGCTAAATGACAAAACATGTCGAAGCAACAGCAYACTCACAACACATCACTTACTTGCAGATTTGTGAGGAACAATAGAAGCTTCCTTTCAGTAGAAAGTCCTTAAGTGCTGCTGGTACAAGTTTCCAAAGTAGTCCACGGTGAAACTATTTACCCAAACAACACCTTTCGTTGGCAATATTGCTATAACACTGACATCAAAAATAAAATTAAATAAAAATAAAACTAGGCCACGCATCTCTGTTCCTCATGACTGTTGTAAAAACAGCATAACTAATGCAGTTGTCCTGTGAAGAGGTTGACGGAGTCTCCGCTTGGGTTACCAGGTGAGGGGCTGGGCTCACCTTGACGTTGCTAGGTCACCGGGATTGTGACATCACAATCCACAGGTTTTGGAAAGCGCTTGTTTGCTGACACTAAAAAACAACATTTATATATTGTCAACAAAACAACTGGGAGTATTTTTTGGTGCTTGGACTGTTTCTGGGAACAGTACAGACCCTAACTGAAGCATAAAAACAAGTAAAAAGTGAATTTTGCATAATTAAAGAGTTGTACAAAAGATTTGGATCTTTAGTAAATGTCACATCTTTATTGACTAGCCATTAGCATAGCATTGTGATGACTTTGTCATATTCTCCAGGCTTTTTGCTCTTTGACAGCTGATAAAATACTTACTATAAATAGACTATTTGACTTTGGACAAACAATAACTAAGTTCTAAACAGTAAAATAAATGRGATTGGTTTTTGTTGCTGATAATAATAATAATTGTATGCCTAAATTTACTCCTAATCAGGTTTGTAACGTGATGAGTCCCAGCCAGAATAACTGGCTGAGGACGGGCTGGATTTCTCGAGAAGGAGCCAGGAGGATCTACATCGAGGTCAAGTTCACCCTAAGAGACTGCAACAGCATGCCTGGAGTTCTGGGCACCTGCAAGGTAAAGGGACAGAGCCAGAGGAACGCCAARCACTTTCACCATGTTWATAATCTGCATGCTCACACTTTCACCAAGCGAATATTCTGCTCACACTTTCACTAATCTATATAATCACACATTTACCATGCTAATATCTGTACACTCACACTTTCACTATGCTAACAATCTGTACGCTGACACTTTCACCTAGGGTGACCAGACGTCCCAAATTTCCGTGGACAGTCCCCTTTTTGGATGACTTGTCCCCGGCTAAAACTGTCCCCGGAAAAGTCCCCGATTTGAGCTTTTCATGAATGAGGGGGAAAAGTTGCTTGTAGACTCTTATTACTGCAGTCAACTCCCAGCGCGACTGTCTGTGAGCTTGTTGTGCAAGCYCTGTTACAGCACAGGGAGGAGAAAAAAAAGCAGTCAGTCTGCAGCTCTGTTCCTCACCGGTCAGCTGGTGTGTGATCCGCTTAGAAGAAGTGAGTCCTCCTGTTAAATAAACTGTTTACACTCCGTCCACCTGGCCCCAGCTCACTGTTTCTGCAGGACCAGAGTGAAGCACAGCGAGCGGACATGTCCCGGCCCGTCAGCTGTTGTTAACTAGCGTTAGCTAAACCTCCATGTTCAAGTTGAAGTAGAAATAAAGATATGAACTCCTGGACCTGTTTGAGACTCTGGTTGTTGTTACCTGCAGCTTTTCTAAATGCACAGCCTTACCTGGTGTTTTATTGTTCTATATGTAAAACAAGGCATTCATAGTTTAATTACGCTTTGTGAATATTAACGTTCATATTGTTCAGCTCTGTCAGCTAGTCGATCCACAGAAATAGATGTTTTAGATGTTTTTTCTGTTTTTCTGAAATTCTTTTCTGGAAAATATGGGTAAGTATTATAAGATTTTTTTCTTCTTGCTGCTGCCTTTCATTTTATTTGTGATTTGTAGTTTTTGTTGTACATATATTTTGTTTTTAAATTAAATGTATGTCAGC